GGGATTTGAACTTTTTCTGTCTGACCCAAATCCTGAGTGGGCAGCCACGCTCTACTGCCTCCCTGCGGGTATAAATAGCGTCTGTGATCTTGTACATTGCAGAGTGCTTTATGATTAACAAGGAGCTGTGTGCTCATCAATGTCTGTCGCCTACCTGCCTCACAGCAGCCTTGGTAGAGCACAGAGCGGTAGCCCACCTCCAGTTCTCGGGGTGAGGGTCAGGTGCATCAAGCTCGGTGACTCATGGGGTGTCCACGGCAGGAGTTTGTTTGGGGTCCAGTTCCCCTAGCTGTAGGGCCTGCATTTCTCCTCCCTGTCGCTGCACTCCGTGGTTGATAGCAAGGATCGCATGGGGCAGGCTGCCTTTATCTTCGTCATTTGCCCCCTGCTATTGAATTTCCTTTCAACAGTCTGCCCCTTTCCGGACCCTGTTTCCCCACCTTCCCCTCAACAATTCTGTTCACCTGCCGGCCTTTTCACTCCCAGCTGTGCCTGGAGGGGCCGCTCCCAGGTCCTGACTGCCCCAGCCTCCTTCTCTGTCCCGATGGCCGGCAGCCTCTGGTGCTCTATCCAGCTTTACTCAGTTTCCCTCTGTCACTCATCACCACCTGGCCTATTTTATAATTAATCCATTAAAATCTTCCTTTCTCTCTGGAATATAAGCCCCTTGAGGGCAGAAACTCCCCTTATTTATGTACTGTGATCTTCCTCCTGGCAGACACTTAACGGACATCAGAAACACAGCTGCGTGTGTGGGAAAGATGTGGCGATTGTGGCCAAGTGTGAGTGTGTCCCTGGGGTTCTCCCTGCTGCAGGGTGAGCCCCAGGAAACTGTGTGGGTGAATGCTTCTGCTAGGTCCACATGCACCTGTCGTGCTCAGCTGGCCTGGCCTCCGCCCCGCCCCCACCCCTCCATTGATGCTTTATAAACGTACCAGGGGCTGAGTGATGTCACTGCAGTGCATTTTGGGAGTAGCCATGTGGGTTATACACACTTGAGTTGCTTTGAATGCAAACCTGACATCATACTGAAGGCAGCAGCAAACAACATATGCACAGTAAACAGGCAGAGACTGTCTTATTGATTAACAGATGAGGCCTCTATTATCGATCAAAGCTTGGCGAGGAAATTTATCACTTTTAATTTCAAGGCTGCCAAATATTTCTGCCTCTGAGCCAGCCATTACAGAAACAATTTAAAGGCACAAGCCTCCTTGGGAGAGCGGGTTTCGCCTGGCACACTCTCCTTGGCTTGTGCGTCCCTGGAGCCGCCTGGCTTTGCTGTTTCACTCACCCTGGAGAGTTGGGAGGGGTGGCCACAGCCTCTCTGGGAGAAGGTGGGAGCAGTACTGGGCTTTGTGAGTGGGGGCCGACGTCTGCGTGTAATGAGGAGCTTGACCTTAGAGTCCCTGAGGACAGGGACGTTCATACACTGAGCTCAAGTTCTTGACTTCTTTGAGTGGGGTGGGTAGGGTGGCAAGGCAGCCAGATGTGGGCAGGCTTGGGCGAAGCCAGCAACCTTTACTCAGCCCTGTGTGTCCGTTTGGTTTATCTTCATCAGAGCTCGCCTGATGGTGCACATCCACCCTGTATTTGGTACAGGTTCTTCCTTTCTCTTTGCTTCTTAGTCATTAAAGTGAGATGCTACTACAGCCCGCATGATGACAGTTTCTAAGACCCCTCACACCACATCCCTTTGAAGTCTGCAGCACTATGGGGTTTCTCACCTGATCCCAGACCTCCAGCATGCTGGCTGGGCCCACAAGGCACCCTCCCCTCCTAGTTTTCTGGAAGGAGCCGTGAGAACGGAGAAGAACCAGAGAAAGAAATACAATTAAAATCAGATCCCTTACAGATCCACAGAAAATCGTTGATGGCTAATGATTTGAGACTAGGGGGAGTTGCTCAGTGTCAGGGAGCTGTGGCTTCATTGAGCCCCGGCTTCCCTGTCCTGGCCTGCTGTGTTTTTTTGGAGCTACTTTTGCATTTCTGATCTAGAAGGATGAAGTCCTAGCTGTCACTCTGTGAACACAGACACTGGTTTGCCATCATCCCTAAAAGGAATTTTCTTGGCTTTTCTTCAAAGCTCTGCAAGCCGCATGCCAGGTGCTTGGCCTCAGGACATCCTGCAGCTTGAGGGACACCCAGAGGTCATCATGGGATTCTTCTTCCCTTCAAGTGAAATGCAGCCCCAGCCAACCGAGACAAGTGACAATACCTATTTTTAACTCTGTTTAGGAAAAGCAGTTTCATATCTTCCTGGGAGTATCCTGTTCATCATTTGCAATATGAGTATCAGTGAGATAGGTTAGGTTGGTGGCCTCAGACTGCAGGATCCTTGTACTCTTTGATAGCAAGACCTGGTTTTTGGTGGCTGAGTCTTTGTGTTTTGGGTTATCTTCCTCCTCCTCCTCCTCCTCCTCCTTTCTTTCCTTCTCCTCCTCCCTTTCTTTCTTTTCTTTTCTTTCTCATTCTTCTTTTCCTTTCTCCTCCTCCTTCTCTCTCCTCCTCATTCCTTCTC